AAAAAAAAAAAAAAAAAAAAAAGAAAATGGCTTTTGAGGGCAGCGCCCGTAGCTCAGTGGGTAGGGTGCCAGCCACATACACTGAGGCTGGCAGGTTCAAACCCTGCCCGGGCCAGCTAAAACAACAATGACAACTGCAACAACAACAACAAAAAATAGCCAGGCTTTGTGGTGGGCGCCTGTAGTCCCAGCTACTTGGAAGGCTAAGGCAAGAGAATCGCCTAAGCCCAGGAGTTGCAGGTTGCTGTGAGCTGTGATGCATAAGCACCCTACTGAGGGTGACACTCTTGTCTCTACAATAAAAATAAAAATAAAATAGAGTCATGAGGCCTGCTGCCTCATCAGAGGCCTTTATCCCTTGCCCTGGACTTTCCTTCCCTCCACTATCCTGGCCAGACCATAGTTACCTGGGTCATGGAAAGGAACCAGGATATAGTGGGTAGGCTCCATGGGACTGCCTCGCCGCTGCTCCACAATGTGGCGTGCTTGGATTTTGGCAGCATTGATCTCTTCGCCCATACTGCCTGTGGTGTCCAGGACAAAGCTCAGGCTGGAGGCTGGGGTGATATCCAGCAGCCTGGGGAGCAGGCCAGACACACAATGAAGGGTGTGCATGTTTGTCCCCAGCAGCTCCCCCAGAAGCACCTATCCATGTCTCAGAGGTGACTCACCTGGAGAAATCCCTGTCTCCTAGGCGGCTTCGTAGCAGGCTGAAGGCCTGGATGGAGGCTAGAAGGGCCAGATTTGCTGCCTGAGGGTGTAGCATGTGGTGGGGGGAGAAGCCTGGAGATGTGCTGTCTTTGTTGATGCCTCCCCGGGGTAATTGAGAGCTGCTCCGGTCAAAATGGCCACCGTGGCTACATTTCCCTGGGATGGGGAAAGGGATCTAAGGAGCAGGAGGTCAGAAGCCCACTCCCTCCTAAGAAAAAGAGGCTGTTTCTGACCTGGCCTGTCCCTCTTACCTCTCAGCAAAGGGTCAGCTAGAAACAATTACACTTCGTGGAAAGCAGTCACCACAGCACAAGGTGGATCCCTGATCTATCTCTCCATCCAGGCTCCCAAAGCTTCCCATTGTAATGGAGAAATTCCATCAACTGAACAAGAAGCTTCTCCCCAACCCAAGGATCACGCCCCCTCAGTGGGCCTTTCTCTAGGTCCCCACTCCTGACATCTCCTCCTTCTAGGCAGTGATGCCTCAGGAAATGGGACAGGGCCTACAGGACTGAAGTCCTGCAACAGAAACAAAGGCAATGACTTTCTGCTCTTCTTTCTGGGGAGCTTTCCTGACTGATACCTGGAGGTTTTGGGGGATGAGTTCCAAAGTAGCCAGAGGTGAGCAGTGTGAAGCCCAGCCAATTCCTAGGGCAGCTCAACTCTTCACAATCGGAGCAAGTAGGATCACTCACTGAGGAGAGAGGGCAAGCAGGTAAGGTGAAATTCTGCTACCCTGGCCTTTGTCCCTGTCCACCCAAACCTCACTGGGACAGGATAAGAGCCCATGGTGAGCTTTCTGAACTAAAACCTTAGGATTCATGGGCCAACAGTGACACTGAATATTTGTGACTGGGACTGAGCTAGAAAACCAGGGAAGGTGGGGACCAATCTGACAGGGATTGTGCCCTCTGCAATGCCGATAAGACATGAACCTGTCATGGATGAAGGCAGCTTCTGAGTCCTAGTTTGGTTGGGAGGATGAAGGGAGGCTCCGGTGAGCCAGGAGTGGAAGGAAGCCTCAAGAAAGACTGGACTAAGGTCTGGAGACCTGGTCTTGGCTACTCTCCCCATGGGAAATCACTTAACTAACCCAGCCTTTGGTTGGCCTGGGGGGCCTCATAGTCCTTGTGAAGATGACCTATGTGAGTGACCTTAGGATGTGACATAGTGGCTGAGTAGACGGAGGAGGTGGCTCCATGGGCTTCACCTCAACACTGGGATCACAGCAGTACCTTGTGCCAGGCTCTGGAGCTTGGGCCTGGGCCAGAGGAGGTGAGGGTGTGGCTGCTGCTCGCCCAGTTCCACCCAGTTGCTGTGACTGTAGAAATCCTGGTCCCAGGATAGGAGGAGAACAGGCACCAGTCTGACACTGCTCCCCATCTCCTGCCCTGATGTGCCTCCAACTTCCTCACCCAGAAAGTCTCATCCCAGCGCCACTGCTTCCACCAGACAACCCACGTCTCCCATTGCCCTTGCTCCATGGCTCAGACCAGAGTTTTGCCCAAGTGGGAAAGTCCCAGTGTGTCTTCCCACCTTACTCTGAGTTTAATCGCAGGCCACAGGGCTCTGCACAGAGTACTGCTCCCCTCTTCCTCACCTTCCCTTCTCTATGGCCACAGCACCCTCCTTACTGCTCCCACAGGAAGCATTGCTAGTTTGGAGGTGGGGAGCTAGGACACAGCCCCAAAGCACTGTCAAGCAGTGTCCATCGCTCCCAGATTAAGGCCTCCATGGAGCCCAGACAGGAAGGGCAAAAGTGAAGACCCCTCTAACCAATGCCCCAACTCTTCTCACCTGTAAGGCATGAAGTGCAGCCCCAAGGCGCTGGCGGGCCAGGCTGTAGTCAAGAGCTCTGGCTGCTATCATGGTCTCTCGCAGAGCTCCCACCAGGCGTGTGCGTCCTGGGCCCAGTCGCTCAGCATCAAAGTGCAGGTCAGGGTCATTCTTAGAAGTTGGCAGGAAGTCCTGGGCTGCATTGGCACGAGATACCTCACCTAAGGCTGCTCGGAAGCGCCGGGAAGGAAACCCAGGTCCAAAGTAGGCAGCAAAGAGGTCATCGGCAAGGAGGGTTCGGCCCTGGTGAGAATGGGGACAAGAGCTCCAGGCAAGCCCCTTGGATTGGACTGTTGCCCACATTATCTCAGCAACTGGCTTTGGAGGCTGGGTATAGATGGAACTGAGTGTGCTGAGACCAGCTAGGGAGGGGCAGTCCCGGATGTTTCTAAGGACTAGGTTTTAGGGCTAGGACTGCAGAGTATTGTTGCTGCCACAAGTGGGGTGCTGAGCAGCTGGGGCAGGGAGCGTCCCTTCTCTTGGCAACCAGAGCCCTCAAGGTCCCAGGGAATGGGGAGTGCTCACCAGGAAGTCTTCGAGACGCAGGGTGGTGCTTCCTAGGGGCGGCTGCTCCAGGAAGAGCTGCAGGGTGACGTTAAGTGCTGCATCCTCAGTCAGGTCCTGGTGGGTGATGGAGCCGGGGGCAGCCAGCAGGCTCCAGATGTTGGGGAAGAAGGCAGATGTAGGGGGCAGCAGCAGCTGCAGTAGAAGCAGTGCTGAGGGGCCCGGGTGGGATGGGGACACCTTAGCACAGAGCATGGCTGAGGCATGGACCTGGGAGATAGACGACTCTCAAGGGAAAAAGCGATGGCGACTCCAGGGCAGGCCCAGTTGTCTTCATGGGTACCTGCTTTGCTTCAAACACTGTATCTGCTCCAGCCTGCCTTCCTTGCCCTCTCCCCCTCAGTCACCCAGATAATCTGGGGGCCTTATTAGGCCACTAGGGACATGAACCTGCACCTGCCAGGATCTGGGTCCAAGGCTTCTCTCCGGGGGCCTCCTTCCCAGCTCCAGGCTGAGTCCTCGGCCCTGCCCCAGGGACACCCTTGTGAACAGGAAGCCTGAGTATCTCCTCAGGCCTTTCCCTACCTGGTTGCTGGGTCTCGTGGGCAGGGCTGGCCTGCGCGTCACAGGGCACTTAGGTCAGAGTTATAATTAACTAGACTCAGGGGAGAGGGAGGCCCCACCAGGGTGGGGATAGAACAAGCAGCCCCAGCCCCTCTGCTCAAGGCCACAAGCAGCAGCGGCTGCCAGGGCGGGTCTCCCTCTGCCCGCAGTGCAGAGGTAAGCAAGAGCTGGGGAGGAAGGCAGTAAGCAGCGTGACTCAGGCCTGGCACAGTGCCAGGGCAGACCCAGAGAGATGCATCCCTCTGCCACCCAGGACCAGCTCATTGCTCCAACACTGCTCACACTAGCAGCCTCCAAAGATTCAGGAGCTCACCCTTCTGTACCCCTCTCTACACTACCTTGGACACACACAAGAGATAATTTTGTGGCAAAATATTTTATTGCTGCCATTCCCATGGTGGCCCATGGGGCTCTGAGGGTTGAAGCTGGGTGAATCACAGCATCTTCTGAAATAGGGCGATGGCCTCATCCACCTTCCTGAGCTCTGCTTCTGTCTGCTGGAGCTGGAACGGGGTGGGGGGTGGGGGGCAAGGAGAATGAGGACCCAAGCCCAAGCAAGACCCTCCAAACACCCAGGATGAAAAAGCTGGAAAGATGGATGGGGACCATGAGAGGAGCAGTTTAGGGGTATGTGTGTGCTTGGCTGGCCATGTCCCCCTAATCATGTTAGCCTCCCTGCCAACACCTCCTCCCCCCATGATCCAGCCTCTTGGGTCTTGCTTTTCCTACAGGGTGGTTCGTTTCCAAGGACAAAGGGGACTCGGTTTTATTGTTAAGTACATACAAGAAAAAAAACAAAAATAAAAAAGGGGGCTCCTAGCCTACCTGCCCCATGCTGTGCCCCCACCTGGACAGAACACAGGCACCCAGGCATGTCATTTAACCTTCATTTGTAAAATGGAGAGAATACTGCACACCCCTGGGGGCTACGCAGAGAACCAAATGAGGTAAACTATGTCCACTCAAGGCTATCTTGCTCTTGGCCTCCATGCCTGTTTTTCCCTGTGTCTCTGCAGTTTACCCCACTGCTCTTCCCTGGAGAAATCCACGAGGCTAGGGGTCTGCGAGGGCACATGAGGAGGCAATCCTGGTCTTTTGAGGTCAGCCCAGTGGGCTCAAAAGTAAGCACCAAAGCTTGGGCTTCCTGACTGTGGGTCCTGAGTGCGGCCCCAGGTATGTTGATCTCCATGTTTGGGGCTGCTGGGAGGGGCAAAAGGGGATTGGCCAGGAGGCAGGGTGCCTGGGCTTAGGTTGGCCTCCATCTCCAATCTGTTCTGTGAGCCTAGGCTGTGCCCCTGCCCCTGGCTGCCATGGCATGTGAGGACTCGAGGCTCCATGCTTCCCTGTGGGGACTCCCCAGGGCTCAGTGCCAGTTCCAGTTTCCACAGTAGGGATTTGATGGAGGGAGTGGATGGTGTGGGAAATACCCACCCATACCACATACCTTGGCTTTGTCTGCCTCCTGGACTTCTAGGGGCACCTTAACAGGGTAGCCAGAGGCAGCACGGCGTTCCCGCAGACGCTGGGCTTGCCGTTGTGCCTCACCTCGCTTGGCCTGCAGTTTGCCTAGCTCCCGGGCTGGGTCCACCAGCCCCTGCAGTTGCAGGTGGATGGAGCAGCGGTCAGAGGCCAGGGCCACGGCGCAGCCCTGTGGTACAGGAGCTCCCAGGGCCAGGACAGCCACCACACCCGCACTGGCCAGTGCCTGCACGTAGCCCGACACAGCTGATGCCTGGGCACCTGTGGCCTCATCAGCCACTTCCAAGAAACCTGCCAGGAAGGAAGAAAGGTGAGGCCTGGCCCCAAAGAGACAGGAGACTAGGCAGCCACAGCTGCATACAGGGTCCCAGAGTGGGCTGAAGGGACAGTGGGATGGTTGGAAGTGGGGCCCTAAGGCTCACAGTCAGGCCGGATCCGGGTAAGGTTATAGTCAGCACGCAGGGAGCGCACGGCTCGAGTGATGCTTAGAGCCAGATCAAGGGCAGCTTCTGCTTCAGGGTCCTTCCAGGAGCACTATGGGGTGAAGAAGGGAGTAAGAGAAGCCTCGGAGGGCAAGTCAGAGTCCTCCCTCCAAGCTATGCCCAATACCTCCGAAGGCTCAGGGTAAGGGGTAACACAGAGGCTAGGGGGAGCTTGTGGTATCCTCCGGGGAAGCCTCTGGTACAGCTCCTCTGTCACGAAGGGCATGAAGGGTGAGAGTAGCCGCAGGCCAACGTCTAGGCAGGTATAGAGGGTCTGGCGTGCACACTCGGCTGCCACCTGGTCCACCCCATTCAGTATGGGTTTCAGGCACTCCTAGGGCAGGAGAGGCACAGGTCTGAGGGCTGGAGATCTAGCCTCAAGCCCTCAATGCACCTGTGAAGGCCAGGAAGGGGACAGGTTGGCTAGGTCCTCATGGCCAAGGTAGGCAGAGCTGGGCCCAGGGCTCTGCTGTTCTCTCCCCTATTCTCCCTGCCTGCTTCTCACCAAGTAAACATCACAAAGCTCATAGAGCCAGAAGCTGTACTGGGCCGTGGTAATAGCTGGGAAATCGTAGGCCTGGAAACCTTGGTTGCTGAGCCTCACCACCTCGGTCAGCCGGCTAAGGATCCAGCGGTCCACCAGGCTCTCGTGGCCTCCAAGCTGTGGAGAAGGGTACATCAGCCAATAGGCCCCAGGGAGGGGGCTGGGAACCATGGGCAAATATTGGAGGACAAGGAACAAGCCTCCAGTCACCTCAGGGGAGGACCCCAACATCCTGGGCTTTCACTGTAACCATGTGTATCAGTGTCTATCTGTCCCTCCTGCTACAGAGAGGCCCCTTGGAACAGGGGTGCAACCTGTGTGGGTGTGTCAACCTTGCCACCCACCAGGCCTTACCTTGGAGGTGGGTGAGGGAATGAAACCCTTTCCAAGGCCACGCAGGGCAAACTTGGTGGCATTCCAGAGCTTGTTGCAGAAGTGGCGGTAACCCAATATCCGGTTCACATCCAGGTTGATGTCACGACCTGGGTGGGGAGTGAAGTGTCACCATTGTCCCTCCCAGCCCACATCCACGAAGGAGAGTGAAGGGCTGCACAGGAGGGAGGAGAAGGCAACTGAAGGAGTTTTAGGGGCCATACCCTGGGATGTGTATGCGCACAGTCCAAACCGGAGAGCATCGGTGCCACACTCAGGAATCCCTACTGGGAAGTCTGCCTTCTACAGGGAGGGGCAGAGGAAAGAACGTCCTCAGCCAGTCCCCCAACCTTCTGCTCATGCTCCACCCCATCCCCTCTCCATACCTGCCCTTCTTTAGCTTTCTCCACCTCACTGGGATCCAGGTTGCTGTTCAGTAACTGGTCATGGAGGCCCTGAGGGTGGAGGTGGGAGTGGTCAGGTGGCCATGTCCACAGCCACATAGCCCCTCCTAGCTGGCCCAGCACTCAGCCCCACCTGCAAGGAGACTCCATAGATGACATCCAAGGGGTCAATGACATTGCCGAGAGACTTGCTCATCTTCCGGCCGTGAGCATCTCGCACGATAGCGTGGAGGTAGACCTGCAGAGCAGGTGGGGGGACAGCCCATGGGGCTGAGGAAGGACTTCCTTCTCTGGCCTCAGTGCCCCTCAACCAGAAGCCGACATCTGGTCTTGCCCACTCTGAACCTCAGCCCCCACCCAGTATCCCCACCAGCTCCTTGGGCGCCTTCATGTGAATCAGAAATGTTCCCTCCTGGCTTGGTACCCGTAGCACAGTGGTTACATCACCAGCCACATATACTAAGGCCGGTGGGTTCGAACTGGGCCCAGGCCTGCTAAAAAACAATGACAACTGCAATAAAAAATAGCCAGGTGTTGTGGCAGGTGCCTGTACTCCCAGCTACTTGGGAGGCTGAGGTAAAAGAATCGCATAAGCCCAAGAGTTTGAGATTGCTGTGAGCTGTGATGTTATAACACTCTACTGAGGGCGACATAGTGAGGCTGTATCTCAACGAAAAAAAAAAAAAGAAAAAAGAAATGTTCCCTCCTCCGGGAAGACGAAACTCTGAGCCAGGGTACAGAAGTCACTGAGCAGAGCCTGGGCTGGATTTCAGCCTCCACCAACCCCCAGGCTAGGCCACAGGCCCTGCCCCACACCCCCATGCTGAGCCTGAGCTGTGGTGCGGAGAACAGGTGAGGAGGGTCTCAGCAGTCTTCATACCTCTCTGAAAGGCAGTCTGCCGGTTAGCTTCAGGCCTAGCATGACCATCCGGGCCACCCAGAAGAAGAGGATGTCATGGCCTGTCTCCAGCAGTGTCCCCGGGTAGAACACACTCAGGTCTTCTGACTGGGGGCAGACAAAGGTGTGAAGGAGAGCCAAGCATCCACCTTCAATACCCTCACCACACCCTGACCTGGCCCCAGGAACACACCTGGTTGGGCCAGCCCAAGATAGAGAAGGGGAAAAGGCCAGAGGAGAACCAGGTGTCCAACACGTCCTCATCTGAGGGAGGCCAAAGGTCAGAGGTTAAGGGGGAACAGTGAGGATGAGGGCCCCAGTTCTTCCCCTCCTCATGCCCACAGCCCCGCCTTGCCTTGCTGAAGACTGATCTTGTCAGGGGACACTCCAAACTCCTTGGCTGCCTTCTCCCGGGCCTCCGCCTCATTGCGTCCACTCACCCAGTACCGCCCGTCAGGGTCCTGCCACAGGTAGTATGAGCACCCAAGGGGGTGCCTCTGTCTCTGCCTTGTCCTGACTTCTCCCCCCACCAAGGACCCAATAAACCTGTAGCTACCATAGATGCCCCTGTGTCCAGCTCTGGTCTGTCCTTACCTCCCCAGGGGGTACTGCTGGGTCACTGACAGTGATAAAATAGGCTGGGATGCGATGGCCCCACCATAGCTGCCGGGAAATGCACCAGTCCCTGCAAATGTGGGGGTGGGGAGATCAGGAAGGGTCTGGAGGTACCCCAGCCTGTGCCCTGTTCAGCCTCAGCCCAGACTCTCCCACACAGAGGGGCCCTGCGTACCGGATGTTGTCCATCCAGGCATGCCATGTCCGTTGATGGGCCTCAGGCAGAATGCGGAGGTCACCCCGAGTTACAGCAGCGCTGGCAGCCTGGGCCATCTCCCCACAACGCACATACCACTGTGGCCGCAGCAGAGGCTCCACCACATCCTTGGAACGGCTGGGGTTACATGTGGGGTGGGAGATGGGGTGG